TTTTAAAATAATTTACTGATATATAAAAGATTTTACCAAGGGACATATACCTTTCTCTGAAATTCTATTTTCTGTTATTTATTTTTATTGGAGATCAAACTAGAGACAATAGAATTATTCAAAATAGAGAGAAGGGCTCAGATTACCTTGAAAGGATTTCACAAATGTAACTGCTGTTAAGTATTTTTAAATAAAGTAAGAATATGGCTATTCTATCTGAAGGACAAGAGATGAATATAACCCTTCTCATAAGGTTTCTTGTGGTCTTAGAGTTTAAAGTCTGTTCTCTACAGGTCCTAGGATAGGACCCCTGGGCCGTGAGCTTCATTGACACGTTCCACAGCATCATTAGTATTTCCACATCCATCAGAGAAGGGAAAGTTCAGCTCCAATTCAGCCATGACCATATGACAGCTTTACTCTCATATTGAGTCAAGAGGATTGAAGAGGTGGGGGATAAAGACCTGATATGGAGAATTAAAGACAAATGAAAATAAAGGAAGAGAGAGACCTCTCTTCTTACACCAAATACCATGTCAGAAAATGGAGGATAGTCTTGTTTTTGCAACTTAATAGCCAGGTAGCCTAGACAAATTCAATTAATGTCACTGAATTTCTGTTTCATCACTGGAAAACAGGTATAATATTTTCTGCCTTACAACTACCACATAAACACAAGATATTTTAATTCAGCCAGTATTAATTGAGCACTTACTATTACAAAGGTATTCCATAGGCATAGTAGTACTTATTTTTCTTATTCAATACCAAAACAATTCCTAAAAATATTAAAGGGAGAAATATTTTCTTCTATTTCCTACCAATTCAACTTACCACATTTCGCAGTACACTAAGGCTTCCCCATATTACAATTCCAGAGGCACCAAGAGCCACACTTTCACCAAGTGTATTCACAAGGTCATCCTGGCAAATGTGATAGAAAAAGTTAGCAGACAGGCATAAAATGAAAGTGTTATACCTAGGACACTAACAAAACAAAAGTTAACCATGCTAACCCAACAATAATAATTTAAAGATTTCTCCACCATTTTTTTCTATCTTTTACACAGCCATTGTCTTGCTATAAAAAAATAGAAACTACTATTGCTTTAATTACTTCTATTGATAAGGGAGCAGAACGAAAAAAAGAAACTGAGTGAATACATTATCTATACTACCTAATTTTCCGTGCTTACTAAAAAATCATGAGTAACATTAAAAATTAAATATATTCTTATTTTGCATTCATACAATGATGTAGAACTACTTGTGCACATTCCTAAATGATACTAAAGGCTAAATTTCACTCCCTTCAAAAATAACATTAAATTCTACTAAACACTTTTTGTTGACAGCATTTCATAGCCCTTATAACTTGATTTACTTACCTCAGAAAGGTATTTCAAAGCTTGATCAGTAAAAACTAGGCGGGAATATACAAAAACTGGAAGTGGCCTTTCAGCATCAGGTACTTTGGAAATCCTAATGGCCTCATGAACTCGATTTCGCACATAGAGCAAACTTTTTCGAGGAGATATGCTGCTGTTCAAATAAATGGATGGGAAAAGGGCAGTGCTTTCCTTCCACAACCAGTCAAGAGCATCATTTCTTTTCTTTTCTATATCAAAGCAACTTCCATTGAAATTGGGTTGTTTATAATTATGGTTGTAACAATCAGGAAAAAGATAATAACCCCATAAGCGATGTGGCCGAAGTAATTTTCCCAATTTTAAAGTCTCTTGCATGTAACTCTTTGCTGCATTTTCAAAATCAGCCTTGGCTATCTTGGCAGCCTCTGTGACATTAAGTTGTATATTTTGTTGCTGGACTAACTCAATAGACTGATTCCTGTAAACATCTTTAGGTTTCCAGTTTCTTGCCCAAGTGGGCCTCCATTCTTCCCAGTCAATGACAGCCAAACCCACATTGTCTGTTGGCATGTAATGAAGAATGTCTTTCTTAGCTTTGTCCAGATGGTCTTTTAAGGACCCCTTCTGGGGGATTCCTCCGCTCATACTTGTGCCTTTCTTATTTATATAAGGATAGTAGCCAAGTCTATCAGTATAAAATATTGTAATGCCTTGACCTGTGATGTTTTTCCGGGGACTTCCCACTAAAGAGAAGAGGCTCAGATCTAGTGGCTCACCAAACCTTCCAACACAAAGTTCAGTTGGGGCATTCCAGGCCCAGAGGAAAGGCACCTTTGGGATAAGAGGGGGTGCTCTGAAATCCAGAGTCAAGCAACATGGAATCAAAAGGAAGGTGAACACTGCCTGGGATATTCCACTGGACTCAACAAAGCTCCCACAAAAGATATGCTTGAGCCTTAGCACTCCCATTGCAGAGAATAATGACTGAAAAACACTTATTTCTTCCTACACTCTTTGGTTTACCCAACATTTGATGGAAGATATGAGCACAGGCGAAAGAGAATAGAATGAAGCCACTTTGATAAATAAAGAGGTATAATGATTATATTACATTTAAATATTGTTCTTCTTGTTTCATGTTTCAGGAATGTTTTGCAAGTTGCATCATCTATAACTGAAAAAAGAAATATATAATATATTGTTATGCTACATTTCATAATAAAGATTATAGGCTTTACCAACTTCTCGACTTTAAGTCCAAAGAGTTTAATTCAAGTTTAAAAGATGGAGGACCTACCCCTGTGTTTGAATCAATAAAATTATTTCCTCTTACTTTTGGTACACATTCTATAATGATTAACATTTGTCTTATCTTCCCAAATCATTACTGAGCCTACAGAGAGACAAAGGTAGCTATCTTCCCTGTTGCCTTCCCAGGTGTGCAGAATGCTATACCAAGAAATGCCTTAGCGAAAGCCCATTGAATGAAAATAAAATCCAAGTTGGACCTCTTTTTCTTGGTTCCATTGAATGAAAATAAAATCCAAGTTGGACCTCTTTTTCTTGGTTATTTCTTCTTGAAAAATCAATTTATAGTGGTCTGCCAAATATTGAAAACAACCTGTCATAGAATTGAAAAATATCATATTTTTCTTTGTTTTTTTTTTTTTGAAGGGGGGTAGTAAGAGAAGAGGGAAAAGTCACTTCTACCAGAGGTATAAGCCAAAAGACTCCTTGGACTTATTAAATCAATCAAAAATTCCTACCAAACAAGTTTAAGTGCTCTTTGGAACAGTGCTCAATCAAGTCTTAAAGTAATGTACTCTCATGTTTGAAGTTAATAAAAGAGTTTACCACTTCATATCTTCTATTGAAAGCATTGGTTCTAGCCTAGCTTAAGAAAAGTAATATATGGATTTTGGTCTTTTTATAGTGTCTGATAAGTGAGATTGTATTGTCATTCTGATTGCTACAAAGTGAAGTGTTATACACTATCACTGCATGGTACCACTTTTGTGGTACAATAAAATAGTCTGAGCGAATGAAAAATTAAACTATGTATTATTCAGCATTTGATATTTGCAAAAATTACCTACAAGAAGACATATTTAAAAGTTCTGTGGGCCGGGCGCGGTGGCTCACGCCTGTAATCCTAGCTCTCTGGGAGGCCGAGGCGGGCGGATTGTTTGAGCTCAGGAGTTCAAAACCAGCCTGAGCAAGAGTGAGACCCCATCTCTACTAAAAATTAGAAAGAAATTAATTAGGCAACTAGAAATATATAGAAAAAATTAGCTGGGCATGGTGGCGTATGCCTGTAGTCCCAGCTACTCGGGAGGCTGAGGCAGTAGGATCACTTGAGCCCAGGAGTTTGAGGTTGCTGTGAGCTAGGATGATGCCATGGCACTCACTCTAGCCAGGGCAACAGAGTGAGACTCTGTCTCAAAAAAAAAAAAAAGTTCTGTGATTCTAGGAGCAAACTAGAACCTTTCTTTTTAATTAGATTAGTCGTATACTGCTATATGAGGGTACAACAAGAAATATACCATTGTTTCCAGGAATATGTGTCCTTATCATACCAAATTATCCATTCACTCCCATCACTGAAAAACATATTACTCCAATGAGAACAGCAAAGTCAGAATAAAATGAAACCTTAAGAACCATTACACTCATATGTTTTAAAAATAATCAATTTTTCACCTCATATTTAGAACATGTAAAGTAGCTGAAGATTTTCATAGTTTAAACCCCTATAAACTTCTTTACTTAGGACCTAGAAAATCTTCACCTAATGTAATATTTGGGGAAAAAACTAATTCCTTTTAACTACCAACTACCAACACCAATGCCTGAATGGCAGAAAGAGGGAGAAGGAAATTGAATATAGGATTAGCTTTTCCTATGTGTCAGGGAAAGAGTTGGCTAAGCTCATTGAAATTAACATTCAAATCTATTTCCACATGATTATTTTATATTAAGAAAACATGGGTTGAGTGAGCCTATTGAGAAGATCTCTACCCACAGAAATCTTCAAAAAAGAAGTGACACTTCTATCCTTGGAAATTTACTCAATGAAATATCTCTTTTTTAGTATTAACCCAAGACAAAGCCTTGGGGCACAAAATTGGGGAAAGATCCAAAAGTTAGCATCTAAAGTAGCATCTTCATATTATTTAAAGTATCTAATAGAGAACCTTACCTATTTAAACAGAGAACCTAATAGAGAACCCCATTTCTCTGCAAAATCTTAACTGACTTAGTCCCAGATTATTAAACTGACCTTATCTCTCTACTAGCATTCCTAAGGTCTATATTCAATTTATACTTATTAAAGTTGCCTCTTTAAGTGTCCTCTTCATCCACTGTGTGGATAATTGCTTCTTTTTTGTTGTTTTTTGTTTGTTTGTTTTTATTTGTTTTGTTACGTTTATTTTATTTCAGGTTATTATGAAAGTACAAACATTTTGGTTACATTTTATGTCTTTGCCTCACCCAAGTGAGGATCAGAGGCATGCCCTTCCCCCCTGCAATGCTCACCGTGTCCCTTAGTTGTGGGTTTATCCCCCCATCTCCCCAATCCCTGGAGAATATTACTGCCATGTGAGCACCCTAGTGTTCATCAGTTAGTACCAATTTGATGGTGAGTACAAGTGGAGCCCATTCCTCTGATCCTGTGATACCTCACTTTGCATAATGGGCTCAAGTTCAATCCAGGAAAATGTAAGAGGTGCTAGATCACTGTTGTTTCTTGTAATTGAATAATATTCCATTGTATACATATACCAAATTTTAATAATCCACTCATGAATTGATGGGCACTTGGGTTGTTTCCACATCCTTGCAATAGTGAATTGTGCTGCCATAAACATTCGGGTGCAGATGTCTCTATTATATTGCTTCTTAAAGCACTCCTGCTAAGTCTTTAATATCCCCCAAGCCCCAAAAATGGTACTTACCTAGAAGCCTACTTTCAAAGTCCAGCTACACAACCTGTCTTCAGTAGTATTACGGTAAGGTGTGGCCTGGGCTCAATATCTTCCTAGAGCATTGGCTGGCCATTAGCATCCCTTAAAAAAAAAAATAAAGATCATTTTCTCTCAAAATAGATTTAGAAGCTTAAAATGTGAATACATCTAAAATCCTATTTTAATTAAACTCTTGGCTAGAAGCAGTGGCTCATGCCTATAATCCCAGCACTTTGAGAAACTGAGGCAGGAGGATCACCTGAGGCCAAGAGTTTGAGACCAGCCTGGGCAATACAGTAAGACACCCCCCCAGTTTCCCCCTGTCTCTACAAAAAATTTTAAGTAAACCCAGCTGGGCGTGGTGGTGTGAGCCCATAGTCCCAACTGCTTGGGAGGCTGAAGCAGGAGGATTGCTTGAGCCCAGGAGTACGAGATTGCAGTGAGTTTTGATGACACCACTGCATTCTAGCCCAGGTAATAGAGCAAGACCCTATATCAAAAGAAAAAAAAGGCAACTTTAATACTCGATGAATAAGATATGCTTGAATATAGTATTTCACCCTGAGAGAATTTATGCAGATATCAGAACTAGTAATAAAGCGATTGAAGCAACATGTAAAGATGTCTCCCTAAAATATTAAGTGAAATAAAGTAAAAAAAATACACACTGTAAGTTCAGGTATACAAAAACATGTAAGTACATACTTAGGGAATTGAAAAATATTCAGAAATATGAAAGAATATTTGTATTTTCTGAGCCTCATTATATATTATTGATCTTCTAATTTTCTTTTATCCAACTATTATACTATTTCTCATATAAAAAATGGGAGAAAAATAAACTTTAATGTTAGAACTTAGTTTGCCAGAACAGATTTGAAGCTCAGCTTCTCTTCGGTAGGGAAAGAAAAAGAACTACAGACCTCTCTACACTTTATTTACCAGGATGCTTGTACAAAGGGTTCTTGTTTTATTTTTTAAGAGAGGAGTTAATGATTGAATTTTTTCAAGTTAAATTGTATTTTGTCTATTTACAGTATACAACATGATGTTATGGGTAGACTGGGATTTTTGAGGTAAAATCATAATGAACGGATATAGAAGTCAGTCAAGAGACTATCTCCAGAATCTACCTTTTGTTGTTCCCATTTTCCATGAGTCTGTGTATATATTATCTGTATGGAATTAAGAACTGAATTTAGTGCTGGGCATGGTGGCTCATGACTGTAATCCTAGCACTCTGGGAGTCCAAGGCAAAAGGATCCCTTAAAAATAGAAAAATTAGCCGGGTGTGGTAGTGCACACCTGTAGTCCCAGCTACTTGGGAGGCTGAAGCAAGAGGATCAGTTGAGCCCAGGAGTCTGAGGCTGCAGTGAGCTAGTGAGCTGTGATGATGTCACCGCACTCTAGCCAGGGGCAACAAAGCGAGACATCGTCTCAAAAAAAAGAAAGAAAGAAAAGAACTGAATTTAGATACAATCCTCTTACCACTGCAATCGTTATGGATTTTGAATATAAATTATTATAAATATGAAAGTAAAAATTCAGAAATATGGACAAATATTGATAAAGGCAAGATTACAGCTTTGGTGAAAGCAGACCATGACATTACTGAAGGGGGAAGGGGGAAGGACAGAGTCCTAGGGTTTCAGTCTTCACAAGGCACCTCCTCAGTCTCCATTTCCCTGCAGTCCTCAGAACAACTAACATGATCTGGGCATTGTTGCAATACTGAGCAAATAGCTTCTAGCCTCAGGAAGCCTAAGGATACCGAAATATATAATTTTAACATACCAAATTACTTCCATAAATACTGTGGGAATCATTCTTTAAAATGAAAAATAAAAAGCAAAATTCCACATGAGCAGCAGGCCCCCAGTTTTCTGTCCTTGTATCCTAATCACATTTGGTAGCGTGTGTAACATTTCCAAGGTAATTAGTTCATAAATTCACCCCAAAGACTGATTTATGCCTCCAGTTACAAGTTACAGTGAATCCAAGCTA